AATTCTTTATGTCAAAGAACACATGCGCAATTGAAAAACTCAAGAACACTGTGGAAATGCAACAGAAAGAAGACTGACAGCAAAAAAATCCAGGAATATACTGTCATATATATTTTTAATTACCTTTTAAGACTTCAATGGTAACTATGAATTAGTAAAGAAACTTAAGATTTAACTTGAAAGATGCTTCTGTTGTTAGAGAGCCACACAGAGAAAGGCAGGCGAAATCAGATTACTTTTTCAGAAGAGTGCTGGAGGTGACATTCCACATTGGTCCGAGCTGTCCACTTCCCCACTGGGGTGTCACCAGCGAACTTTCGAGGAGTGCCGATTTCTTCTTCAGCATCGGCTCCCAAGAAGATTCTCTCATCAAAATCACCAACAGTTAGAACATATTCTTCATATTCCTTGTTCACTGATTTACTGCAAAGATAGTAATTTTAAGCTGTTAGGATAAAAGTCAGTTACACAATGGATTTATCTTGACTTACAGGTAGACTTAAGATCCACTGCCTAAGAAAACTGATTAGTCCTTTCTCATAATATTCATTCTGTCTCTCTGATAATATCACGAGTTCCTGTTTGATCATTGGGCATTTAAAATATTCATGCAGACATAAATAATTTTTAAAATATACAATAAAAACGTGTAACTGAAAGCTAGTTAAAGCTAGTCATGGAAAAGAAAATTCTAACAGACTATTGCGGAAATAATCCACTCTATCAAACTGATTCAATCCGTCAAAGTGATTCCACTTCAAAGCCTGCTTGTATAAGATTTCCACGACTGCAGGGCTTTGCAGAAGTAAACAGCCACATCTTTCTTTCTCAGAGCCACTGATAGCTGTGGCTTTTGGCCCTGTGGTTAGCAGTGCAACACTTATGCAACAGTGCCACCAGGACTTCTGGAGGAGACAACAGTGAGGTGCAATCTAGATTGGCCAACATTTGATTAATGAAAGAGCAAACACCAGCTGCGTTTCTCGGTCGAGCAGTTATTTTAAATATACTTTAAATTTTAAAAAAAAGTTAAAACATTCACTCAATATGCCACTAATGCAGGGGGAAAATGTGAATTTGGAAGATGTATCCTGATACAATGTTTCACTTAACAAACTTAACAATTTGTTATTAATACTGTCTACAATGTGCTGGATGCCTTTAGTACTAGAAACTTACCTATTATCAGTAAAACTGGAAAGGTCCAGGAGACATTCTCCTTTTAAAATCTGGGAAGAAAAAGCCATTTTAGGCCATCATTTAAGTACATGAAAATGAAGAAAAACATAAGGCTTATCTACATTGGTAGTCCTAAAATCACACATGCATAAATGCACACACAAGAATTATTAAACAGTTCTTTGAGACTAGTAAAGTCTATTTAGCATGCAAATAAAGTATTAAAAAGTCAAATTTTGAAAACCGAGCTTAGTCGATAGCAGTAGTTTCTAAATTTTAGTGACACATGAATCACTCAGGGAACTTGTTAAAAAGGCAGAATAATGGACACCACCACCAATGACTGAGTCCGTAGGCCTGAACTGAGACTGTACTTTTGAACAAATTCCTTAAGTAATTCTGAGGGAGGGAAACGAACATTCTTGAATGACCCTGGTGGCATAGTGAGTTACGCATTGGGGTATTAATTGAAAGGTTAGCAATCTGAAACCACCAGCTGTTCCTAGAGAGAAAGATGTAGCTTTTTACTCCTGCACAGAGTTAATTTCAGAAATCCACAGTGCAGTTCTATCCCAGGGTTGCTATGACTTGGAATAGGCTCAATGGCAGTGAGTTTTTCTTTGGTAAGAGAAGAAAACTATATTCTATCAATAGTTGCTGTTATGCCATAGTATATCAAAATTAATATGCAACATGAATTGTACATTCAAATGTATTCAAGGACAAGATGTCAACAGATAAACAAAGACAGCAGTAGGTGCCCTTCTCATCCTAAAAGAGGTGACCATAATTTAGCTTGCCAACAGTTAGCCATGTAGAAATTCCTAGTATTGCCATCTTATTTTTAAAATATTTTCAGGTAATAGATCTTGAAATTTAAATGTTTTATAATAAAAAATATATATCCTAAAAAGGCCAAACGAAACATCTATGGACTGTGGGCAGGTGGACCACTGTCCAAACCAGAATACGTTGGTGCATGAAAGGAGGTGCCATTAATAATTAAGCCAAGATAACAGGTAAAATCAGATATGAAGCCTGGTAAATTGGGACGTACAGTAATCATACCAGGGGCACTAGTGTACAATCACTGGAGAGGCTAACAAACATAATTCCAGGTTCCTTCGAAGTTTATTTTGCTGGAGATGTTCACCATACAGATAAGGAACAAGGGTATATTTATTTGAGGCAAGATGGAACAGAATAGAAAAGTTTATATTCAAGAAGAAGCCAGATGGGGAAATTCAAGCTTAGAAGAAAACCTCCTAACATTCTTACAAAGGGGACCACATAAAACAAAGCAAAACAAAAAAAAGCCCCAGAAAAACAACAACCCAACTCTACTGCCATTGGGATAACTCTGACTCACAACGCCCCTATGTCAGTTTTCCAAATCCGTAAATCATAACTGGAGCAGACAGCCTCCTCTTTTTTCCACAGAGAAGCTGGTGAGCTTGAACCATTCACCTTGACGTTAACAGTCCAATGCTTACTCAATACCACTTGTGCACAGTGATGACTAAATCAAAGTCCCTCGTTTTACCAAGAGAAAACTTAAGGCCTCACTGGATTAAGCAGGCTCAATGTTGGCGAAACACGAACTCAAGGTCCAAAATAAACATGCCAATTCATAAACATAGAAGCAGCTAAGTTACTGAGGGGAGAAAAAAAATCCAGAACGCAGGGACCCAGCAGGCAGCTACAAATTATAGTGAATCTTCTGTGGAATTAAAGGTGTGTTACCACATGTCATCCTACTGGTGGTAAAGAGTCAACAATTATTCAACGTGTCAGTAGTTTCATTAAACTTATTCTGATGTTCTCTTCAACGGCTGACTCTGATATTCTCTTCTTCCTAATTCTTTATGAGTACCTTGCAGTTACCTTGGCAGCACATCTACCTGACAGTACATATGATTGTCGTGTTCTTCAGTGTGTTTTAGTAAGGTCAAGGTGTGCTTAGGTAATCACATCATATAAGATCACAGGATAAATGTGCATCCTTGAGTACGATAACGCTAATAAGCTTGCTTAAAACACTATTTTATTTATTTTTTCCTGTTCAGGCTGCTGCTGACCGCTAAACTTAATCTTAGCCATTTAAGGACAGTACCTTCCTATCAAAGAGTTTCGAGATGTACGGCTTAAAGTAGTGCTCCTTTATTCCTTTTGCTTCAACCCGAAGTCCGTCGTGCAGTTCACACAGTTGGGCAATGATGCAGGGCGGCTCCTCAGGAGCCCTGAAGTCAGCGGCATGAAAATCAAGTGGCAAACCTAGTTTCACAGGGTAGGCAGAGATGCATGGGGGAGGGGAGAGCATGATCAACTTTGAACACTCTTTCTACAAACTGATCATCCATTTTCAAGAATAAGATCTCACCTTTAAATGATGGATTTAGCAAGTCTTGTCTATTGGGGCAAATAATGGCATTGGCAAAAATCAGATCCAAGCAGCACAGAAGTAAGTGGTAGGAGTTTACTAAATCATCCCCGATCATACGGAAGTTTCCTTTTAAGAACAAACACAAAACGATATAAAGCCCAGAAATCACTCACATCGCTTCCCCAGTAGAAATGTAAGACTAGTGAAAATGTCAGCTTACCCTTCGTGTAAACAAAGAGGGTCCAGCAGAAATTAAAGAGATCTTTAACGCTGCAAGGAATCTTCCTAAAAAGGAGGGGGACAAAATTGACTAGCTTGCTAAATATAACTTCAGGTGTTTTATTTAAACTGAGATAACAAATCTAAACAATCAGTAAAATCAAATTGCACATGATAAATCTAAACAATCAGTAAAATAAAATTACAGGTGAAGCTCCCTTCATTAGAGGCAAAATATAGCTCAACAATTGGAGTGGAATGAGCCTTTCCAAATCTGTATAAAATCTTAACATAGAAAATAGGTATTACCTGCAGCTTTCAGATATGGGTAATTGTAAATGGATATGGATGTGTGTGTATTACATATACATCTCAAAGGATATTTGTGGTACAGATTTTTCAAAAAGCAAACTCTTAATAAAGTCTGTATGATAATCTACATAAAGCCACATAAGGATTAAGGGTCTCACCTCTGCTTCCTGCTTCGTGGTAACTTTGGTAGCTCTTCATATGGATTTTGAAAAATATCTAAAAAAATGGGCTCAAATTTTTTGAAAATTACTGTAGATACCTCAAAATTTCTTTCTAGCCTTTTCATACGATCACGAAATTCCTGTGGCAGGTTTGACATGTCCATCCATTTCTTCATTTTACTAAAAAACTGAATTAAACTAAAAACAAAAACCAGAAAGAAAGCAAAAACCAGAAAATCAATGTATTTAATGGACTGAACAGAGATTCAATAGAAATAAAACATTCTATTAGTCGCTAAGAATCTTTACTAAAAAACATGGCGTTTAAACCTCACTAAAAAATGCTGCAAAATTATTTGTATGATCACCTTGGGGATACAAATTTTGATTAGTCCTCATTCTATAAAGTGTCTCCTAGGATGGAGTGAGAGCAGCTACCTACTTCTATTTCCTACAGCGCCTGGGCAATTCGCTGCATATAAATTACAAGTGCTTGCTAACAAATCAGTGGGTTTCCAATTTAAATTTAAGAAAAACATATTAGTCTCCCAAATGCTTGGCTTGTGAAGTTACCCACAAAATACTAGACCATTACAAGTTAGAACATTTCAAGTGTTTTGACATTGTTCCAATCTGAGGTCCCACCACCAAAACTGAACTGCCAGGGGGTTGTTGCTTACGTGCCTTCCAGTTGGCTCCAGTTTCACTGAAAATTGTGAGAAAGACTATGAGCTGGGATGCTAGATCCGATGTACCTACTTGAGAGTTTCTAATCTAGACCAGTGGTTCAGAAAACTCAGGTGCTGTCAAGTTGGCTGCCAACTCATAGCAACCCTACCTGGTCCTATGCCATCCTTACAATTGTTTCTAGGCTTGAGCCCGTTTGTGGTAGTCATGTAATTGTTTGTCAATTTGAGAAAAAGAGTGAAGGGGTGGAGTCTAGCCTGTCAATCAAGATGTAACCAATGAGGTCTCTGTGTGGGCATGGCCTTCTCCTGAGAATTATGGGAACTTCTGTTTTTCCTCCTTGGAGACAGGAGACACTTTCTCTCTCTGCTTACTCCCTTGGAAATTCTCAACTGACAAGACTCTCGGCTCACTCCCTGAGACACACTCTACTGAGATGACACATAGCACTACAATGATAGACCCCATGCCCTGGGAACTGGAGAAGCCATGTAGAGACCCCTGCCAGTGCTGAGATGATTACAATGCCACTGGGTCCAAAGACTGTCTACCCTTTGGCCTATGATCATCCTGCATTGAGTCATTTCATGTGTTTCAGGAGTCTAAAGGACTTTATAGATTGATATCGGACATTTGGGCTAATATCAGACTTAAGGACTTGATCTGTCCTGGACTGGGATGTTTTCTCAATGTTCAATTCCTCTTGTATATAAACCTCTTTCTTATACAACTACAAGTGTCTCCATGAACTTGTTTCTCTAGTCTACCCAGACTAACACATCACTGTTGTAGCCAGTGTGTCAATTCATCTCATTGAGGGTCTTCTTCCTCTTTTGCTGACCCTCTATTTTACCAAGCATGAGGTCCTTCAGGGACTGGTCTCAGTGGTTGAAATAATATTTACTACAGAGAATGAGGATAACACATTTACCAGATGATAATAATTAACACCACCAAGGATAGGAAAATAGATATTGTGTGCTCCCAGATCTGACAGCCCAAAGACACATAGGTAGTTTTCTATCTGATAATGTACAACCTGCTTCTAGCCATGAGGAAACTCGAGAAATCCAAAATGAGGGACGATAAATGAAAAAGAGGTGTGAAGTGGTTGTAGATTATACCCTTCATAAATGCCAATGATAAAAGAGAGATGATGAAAAATTCATCATCATATACAACATTGTACTGGTTATTAATGTCACTGGCCTATACACGTAAAAATGGGTGAAATAGAAAATATTCTATTATATGTACTCTATCCTTAAAAAAAGAAAAGAAGAAGACAGAGGCCATGAAAATGATCCTAAATAAAGAGACATGACAGCTGAATGCAATACCTGATCCTATACTGGAAAGCGTACTCAAAGGGTAGGGAAAAGCCATAGAGGACATCATTGGGTCAATTTACTAAACTGGACTAGAAATGGTAGGTTAGATAAAATATTGTATCAAGTTAAATCTGCTGAGATTAATAATTGTACTATACTTATATAAGAAGGGAGGGAGGGAGGGGGAAAATGAGGAGCTGATACCAAGGGCTCAAGCAGAAAGCAAATGTTTTGAGAATGATGACGGCAACAAATGTACAAAAGTGCTTGACACAATGGATTGATGGATGGCTTGTGATAAGAGTTGTATTAGCCCCCAATAAAATGATTTAAAAAAAAGAAAATACACATTAGACAATTAAGTGTGAAGAACTAAAATACAAGCTATATCAAAGAATTAAGCAAATGGGTTAATAATATTAATAACCAAACTAAACTTATGGCCACTGAGTCAATTCTAACTCATGGTGGCCCTATAGGGCAGGGTAAAATTGTCCCTGTAGGTTCCTGGGCTGTAACTATTTATAGGAGTAGAAAGTCTCATCTTTCTCCTGCAGGTGGGCTGGTGGTTTCGAACTGCTGACCTTTGGGTTGGCAGCCCAAAGTGCAACCAGTGCTTTACCACCAAGGCTCCTCAATATTAATAGTATTAGGTGAATCTGGGTAAAGGATCGATGTAATGTTTTTTGTACTTTTCTTATTACTGCAACCTTGTCTGTAAACTTGAAATTTACAAATTTTTAAAAAATTCAATGAAAAAGATATCATAGTTCCAAATATTGAACACAAAATACCTCTGGTTGAAGCCCACGTGTGAGGAGGAGAGGCAGAGGAAGAATGTAACTGGGAAAGGATAACAATGTGTTAACAACCTTGGTCAGGATTGAATGAGGTCAACTGTTTTCAAATAAACAACATAAATTCTAATGTTAAATTTAGAAGTTTTAAAAACAATATTGCAAAACCAAAGTACTTTACCTTAATTTAGCGGAGCGGAGTATCCTAGTAAGTGATACACAGTTTCCTTCCATGACACCCTTTCCAACTGTGGGAATAATGCTTTTGCGGCATGCAACATATAACGAACATGCCAACCAGTGTACAACTTCTCCCTGGCAGACAGAAGGCAAACAGCAAAATGGATGTTAATATGCTTAGAACTCCAAAATCAAACAAAATCTTAGAATGACAGGTTAATTTTCCTTCTGTAGCTAAAGGATGCTTGTTGCCGGGTGTTGAGTTTATTATGATTTACAGCAACTTTACATACAATAAAACACTGCCCAAACTCGTACCATCCTGACCATCACTGCCATATTTGAACCCACTGTTGCAGTCACTATGTCAATGTCAAGGTCACAAAGCTCAGTTACTTATAATACTAGGTATTTTTATTTAGGCCTGTGTTCTCACCCCTTATTTATCAAATATGGTTAGGTTCCAAAAACCAGGTTATTATGGGGAAATCAGCATTATACAAATGGAAGATAATCACATCCAATCACAAAATGGAAGAGAATGTCTACTTCTTCGTGGCCCAGTCAAGATGACACATCACCTTTACTATCACAGCCACCATTAATCTAGCATCAGAACGGGTGTTCATTGCCAGACATGCATCATCAATGCTTTAAATAGCTTGACTGTGGTTGTGAAGTACCATTTAGTTGGTTCCAATTCCAAGTAACCAGAATGAAACACTGTCTGGTCCCGGACCATCATCACAATTGCTGGCACAGTGTCAATCCATCGCGCTGAAGGTTGTCTTTTTCAATGATTTCCCCCCCCCCCCAAGAATCATATCCTTTGGCAGGGATTGGCCTCTCCAGATACAGAACATGCCCAAAGTATAGGAGATAGACTCTCACCAACCTAACTTCCCAGGAGTATTTTGGCTGCACTTCCAAGCACTGTCCCTTCTGGCAGTTCAGACTAGCCAACAGTCTTTGCCAACACCAAATTCAAAGGCATCCGATCTTCTTAGTGGTCCTTATTCATTGTCCAGCTTTCACATGTTTATGAGGTGACTGAAAATGCCATGGTCTGGTCAGGTGAGTCTCAATCTCTAATGTGCCATTTTTGCTTTTTAATATTTAAGAATTTTTTAAGTCAATCTGGCAAATGTATTATATCAAATAGTAGATTATTTTACTATTGTAGTAAATGGTGAAATGTTGGATAACAAGATAGTTGATAAGTGAGGAGTAGGTGTATTATTGAAAGAGGTTCTCTTATAATTTATCTGCTTCCACTTTCTTGATTTTAAAATACCAGCTGGTCTTGAGGATGCTCAAGGGATTTTTCACCATTTCAGTTTTATATATCTTTAAAACCAGTTGGACAGTGAAAGAAAAGGTCACAATAGAGAGCGAGCAAGGGAGAAAGTCACAAAAATATTTTTTGAATCACAAAAAAATACCTGTTTTATGTAACTGTCATTTTTATAAGGTAAAAATTTGGGGACCAATTTACCCTTAAACATAGTCTTTAAAATATTATGTACGGATCTTCATCTCAGCTGATATTTCAACTTATAACACTATAATAAAGGTGACATTTGTAAATTCAACATGGAATACCAGTAATTTGTGACTTATAACAAACTGCAGTATGAGTGCTTGCACTTTGTTTTTATCTTACTGGTAGTAATTTGTACTATGTGTAGTGTTGCATCACGTAATTTGTTGTTTTTTTATTTTTAGATGTTCTTACAGATAAGCACTGCTGACTACGGCCTAGTCTAAAATGAAATTGATGTCGGTGTCAAGAGTCGTAAAGAACAGAAAATTGGGCAATGTTCAACTCCAAGGGCATGACAGTTGAACTGCAACTGCAGTGGCTTGACTGTGAACCTAAGCACTGAAATGATACTATGAAACATAAGAAGAAAAAAAGGCGGCTACAATCCATACAACTCTTAGGCTTATCAAGCTAATATCCTGACTAGAAACACCAACCCCATTTCCAGGAATAATCTGGATAAACCCAAAGCCTTTTATAAATGCAACTAGACCTCAACTGCCAAAATAACTTTATCCACCTTTTTTTCATCATCAAAGCTTTGTCTATTTTAGAATGCATTTCTTTATTACAGGAGTTCTGGTGAATTGGTTATGAATTGCGCTGCCAGCCACAAAAGCTCACAGTTCAAACTCACCAGTACAGTGAATCTCAACCTTCCTAATGCAGAGACCCTTTAATACAGTTCCTCATGTTGTGGTAACCCCCAACCATAAAGTGATTTTTGTTGCTACTTCATAACTGTCATTTTGCTACTGTTATGAGTAGGGCGACCCCTGGGAAAGGGTCATTTGACCCACAAAGGGGTCAAGACCCATAGGTTTAGACCTGCTTCACCAGTAGATCCACAGGAAAAAGATTAGGCGTAAATCTTGGAGACCCAAAGGGTCAATTTGTCCCATAGGGTCTCTGTAAGTCAGACTGGACTCCCTGGCTTCGAGTTTGGTTTTTAAGTATTAAAATATTAGGTTTGTATGTTATGTTTCTAACCCCTAGAGACAAATAAGAATTGGATTTACAAAGTTGTCGATACGAAAAGGCAATAATAATGAAAACTTAAAATTAAAAAGAAAAGATATTCTACCTAAAGGAAACAGAGGTCCAGGGCACCGGTATTAATTTTACTCAGAGCCAGACACTGGACTATCCATCAAGTTAAAGTCCCTTAATCCTCCCATCCGGCGACTGTGTTAAGATGATCCCCATTAGACAGATGAGCGAACTGCGTACTATGAGATAAGCATGCTTGGCGTGTTAGCTTTGATCAAGTGATTGCAGAAGCAATGCCACAAAATGCGCAACCCGAGGGCAGAAGTTAAATGGCTAAGACTCTGCTCCTGGCCAGCCCGCCCTTGGGCCCGTGGCTGGACCTCTGGGGGCTCCGCTTTCTCATCTGGGGAACCGGACCCGAGACCACGATCAGAGGGCTGTGGGGAGTAACGAGCCGCCACGTGGAAGCGCGGCCCGGTTCTGGGGACGCGGTCAGGGTACCCTTTACCACCGACGCCCCAGTTCCTAAGAGGATGGCGCGGGCCGGGCCAGTTCCTTCCGTTCGTGCACTGGGCTGCTATGGGCCGGCCTCGATGGCACCTAACAAAGACCACAACATCGCGGCCTGGAGGGCACTTCGCTGGGCTGCGGCGGGCCCGGTGTGGAAGTCGCCGGTCTAGGAGACCCCAGGGGTGTGACCTTGGGGAAGCTGCGCCTGGCCGGGGTTTCCGCTGCCAGCTTCAGGAAATGGGGGAGAGGGGCCCCCGGGTCGCTAGCAGCCCCTCCAGCGCCGGCTCGGCACTTACTGGCGCCCTGCGGGGCAGCGACCCCTCAGGGTGGGGACACCTCCACCCCCCCCAGAGAGGCGGGGTCGGGCAGGGGTGGGGCCTGGCCGCGGACCCCCCACAGCCCTACACGTCGGGGGGTCCAGGGGGGCCGGCCGCCTCCCCTGCAGCACTGCTCACCTCCAGGCTGTAGTTGCCCCGGATGGCGGTGAAGTCGTCCAGGGCTTCGGCCGCGCTCCCTTCGTCCAGGTTCAGCTCCTGACACAGGGCCTGGAGCGCCTCCCCAGCAGAGGCGACCCCCGCCGCCCCCTCCGCGTCGGACTCCTCCTCGAACATCCCTTCGGGCCCTGCGGGTGGCCTGGTCGCGGCCCCTAACTCCAGTCGCCCTCCGAGCGCGCTACCCACAATCCCCCGCGCCAAAGCGCGCGAAAACTGGCGACCACTGAGCGGCACTCCTCCCGGGGCCTGCCTCCACGTTTCTCTTCAGAAGAGTCCGCTCGCCCTCCTGACAAGAAGACGGAACTCGAATCCTAGTCAAACTGGACTTCCGCCCTGAAGGGCAGCAGTGGGCCCAGTCCGCGGGGCAAAGCTGGGGGGCAGTGGGGGGAGGGGGGGTGCGGCCTCCGCGCTGAGCCTCCTGGGAGTTGTAGTCCACATCCGGCCCCGTAGCGGGTAGCTGACCCCTTTGGAGAGCTAGGTCGGCCAATTGCAAATTGACTTTGTTTATCTTAGCGAGGAGCTGCCTCTTTCCTGCCAGACTGTGCTGGTGTTCAAAGGCGCCCAAAACGCCCCATCTCCCAACTAAATTTATCCACTGGAATTAGGAGATGGAGGCAGCGCCTCTCCTCGGATGTCTCTAGTGAATCTGTTGGATAATTGAATGTGGCTTAGGAGGCTAGCACAGGACTGGGGAAGCAAGCTATGAGACACCCTTTCTCAGCTCCCTAGACTTTGGGAACTTTTCCAATAAAGGCAGTCATTCTAGGCTTGGGAATGTCCGGCTGGTCTCTCAGCTTATCCTTCTAACAAAACGTGCCCAGGAAGAGCCACAACAGTCTTTTAAAAGGGCAAATCAGAGCATGTACTTCCTTTGATTAAAATCCTACTGCAATTCCTATCCTTAAAATAATATGCGAACTCTATCCCATGCCCTACAACGCCCTGTGTAACCTGGCCCACTTCATTTGGTGCATTGTGCCCACCGCCTCAGGGATTTGATTGGAACGCTGGAAAATGCCAAGTTCTTTGCCTTGCCAGTTCTTCCTCCTAGGCTGATGAAGCTGCCCCAAATGCTGTTTGCCAGATTTTTGCTTGCCTGGCTCCTCCTCGTTCAAGTTTAAATATCATTTGCTTCTACCATCCCTGTCTAAAGTAGCTGACTCCAGCCTCCACTCCCAACACCTGGTTTCATTATCTTCAGGCACCTGATCACCATCTGCAACTAGCTTTTTTTCTCATTGGCTGGCTCTTCCTACTTAAATCTGAGTGGAGAGGAGGAACTTTTCCTTCCTGTTGCGGATCCAATGTTTAGATTAGGGCCTGACACACCAGAAGCACTCGGGACATTCTGCTTGAAACATTACCAAGAGTCTAATGTTGAGTGAATGAGGGGAAGGAGCCACTGGATCTCAGACCTCACAGAAAACCTCAGCATTATCCTCCAGGCAGGGAAGGATAAGGATAATATCACCTTTTAGCCAGGTGATAATCATCAGTCTGTATTTTGGACTGGTCTTACAAGCTGAAAGGAATGTAAGAAATACGCTCCAGCTGTAGGGAGGGCAGCTGCTTGTGGAGCGGCCTGGGGCAAAAGCTAGACTGGTTAAGCAAGATGATGGATTGGGGGTGGAGGAGGCAGGGCCAACTAGATCCACCCTGCCAGAGTGGCTAGGCCCTATGCATTTAAGTGGATACAATGCTGGGGTGGGGATTAAATTTGTGTATTTTTCAAAGATTCGAGTTATGTGTTTATCAAACTTCACTATAACTATTTAGGGTTTCTCTTACCTGGTATTATAAAATAGGCCTACATATGTGATGAAAATCAATATGCTGATCATGATTACAGAGAGTCTGTAAACCTACCTACAGACCATATTGACTGGAGGTGCTAAAAGGGGAATTAGGGATTTCACAGAAGCAACAGGATTTCTTTTAAGCCAGAAGCCTGTGTAGAATTGGAGGCTTAGCCCAGTCATTGAGCCATGGACTCAGCAACCTCCCTGTCGAGGCCCCTCGCTTCCCAATGCTACGTACCCCCTACCCGCCTTCTCCAGCCGCCACCTTCTTGCAGGCCGTTTCCACTGAGGAAAAGGAATTTTATCGTATGTCCGCCATCCAGAACCTCCACTCTTTCGACCCCTTTGCTGATTCAAGTAAGGGTGATGACCTGCTGCCTGCGGGGACAGAGGATTATATCCATATAAGAATTCAACAGTGCAACGGCAGGAAGACCCTTACCACTGTCCAAGGGATTGCTGATGTGTAGGACAAAAAGAAACTAGTGAAGGCGTTTAAGAAGACATTTGCCTGCAATGGTACTGAGATTGAGCATCCAGAATACGGAGAAGGGAGTCAGCTCCAGTGACCAGCGCAAACACATAGGCCAGTTCCTTGTAGAGATTGGACTGGTGCTTGTGGCTCACGGAAGCTGAAGGGAGGATTTCCTTGCAATGAGTACAAAAATTCCCTCTGTCCCTTGTCACAAGTTTAAAACCTCACAGCTTGTATGATATAACCATTTGGGGTCCACTTTTAACTTGGACTAGTGTAAGTCCTTCATGCAATAAACTGAAAAGTGCCATTAAAAAAAGGGAAAAAAAGAATTGGAGGCTTAGGTAGAAATGTGAATTCCACCCTGAACTGCTGGGGAAGCCTACAGGGAGGAAAAAAACCCCGAAAAACTGGTTTTTAAAAAAAAGTTAGCAAGTAGTTTGTTGTTGGATGCAGCAAAGCAGGACAAGTATGTGCCCAAGAGCGCCCCACCCCTCACCACCACACACACACCTGGTAGGACTGAAAGTTAGAGAGAGGCAGTGAGCCTGGTATGTTTGTGGTGACCCCATGGATCCACTTGTTAAGTGGAAATTGGGGAGATGCAGCAAAGAAGAGATGGGCCGAGTTTAGACATGTTCCAAAAGTACATGTTGACCGATTCACAGAGGAGAGAGAGTGGGACGGACTGACAGGCCTGAAGGTGGGGAGTTGAACAGACTCCTCAGCCTTTGGATATAACAGCCCATGGGTCCTAGGGCTGAGAGTGAGAAGGGGCCAGCTAGCCTGAATGCAGGGAGGTGTGTGTGGAATCACAATCTTGTTGTTGGTACCCGCCCTTGACCTAGCTTGGATGGCTGGGGCTGAACTGACCAGAACCTGAGCAGTTGAAGAAAGATATTTGATTCTGGGAGCTGGTGTAGATTGCCGAAATGTGGTGGCTTCTTGTGGACAGCCTTTGCTTATGGAAGCATGTGGCCAAAGTTCTAATATGAAGGAAATTTCTTCAGATCAAGAAGCACACTTGCCTCCTTCCAGTGCTGGGTTGACAGGGACGGGCAATTTAGAATTTGGTATTTAAAGGGATGGGGGTGGGGGAATAAAGGCACGCATTGGTTAATTTACAAGTTTTTATGGATGTGCTCACAGTAAAAATTATTTAAAAGGGGGAAGTTAATCCTTCATGTATGAGAGTGAAAATGCTATTTAATGTGACTCTTCTGGTCAGTTTCAAAAGGCCTTTGTCGTGGGATGGGTCTGGGTAAGAGAGGGTAGGGGAAGACACTGGTAGGATTCAGTGAGTGACTGTTAAATGGGATTCATTTTCATTGCCATCCTGCTGGGTATAAAATGAACCATCTCAGATGCAGGAAGGGAGGAATCTCGATGCCAGTGAGGAATGTCAGTAATGGAATGTCTTCTGGCCCCCTGTGCATTGAACCTCTTTGACCAGAAGACAGCTTTGACACCAGAGGAGCAGCAGAGGAGCAGTAACGGCAGAACCAGCAGAACTGGAAGCCCGAGCATAAAACAGAGTATTGAATTCCCAGCCCACAAAGCGAGTAAAGCCCATGCTTTGGGGCAGGAGGCTGGCTTGTGGAGGGGGGCGCTTCTGGCCACTTAATCAGAGGCGCTGGAGCTGGTCACCTATAGCTTGAGGTTTATAGTATAGTGGCATGCCCTTTGGGCATTTATTGAGAACCCTAAAGAATTGTGTGGCATTGCTCATGCAGAGCAGCGGCCAAGAAGAGAGGCTGAGGGGCAGAGAGAGGCATGCCTGTGGGCATGGCAGAGAAAAAACTATCCCGACTGAACAACTGTATCCTGAGCTTTTCTCACCTGCATTGTAACCTTTTACCTTCCGTAATAACCCCACTCTCAGGAACCACAGAAGTAGTTCAACTCTGTTCTATAGGGTAGTTTTGAGTGGAAAGTCACTCGAGGGCAGTTAGTTTTGTTTTCTCAGGAACAAATGCCTTAAGCTGGGTCCTTTGGAGAAGCAAAGCAAATGATACTTCTATGTGTACAGAGAGAGAGATTCCTACTAAGAAAAGGACTCACACGGTTGCAGAAGTACAGCCATGTTCCGTGTCAGTGGGTCAGATGTTATGCTGGAGGCTTCTCCAAATGTGCACGGCTTCGTGGGCTGATAAACCCGAGATTGTCAGGCAGACCACAGGCTGTTCAAGAGGTGGGTGAATCCAAGGTCAGCAGACCAGGCTGATGACTGGAGAGGTGAATCTAACGTTGGCAGGTCAGATGGCAGATCTCTGAGAACTCCTAGGATCAGCAGGCAATAGGGCAGGCTGTTGGTTCAAGCCAGACGAAGAATCCAGACTCAGCAAAAACCAAGCTAGCCTTTCTACATCATCCACTTATCTAGGAAGTAAGCCACACCCTCAAGGAAACGTAATTGCATCAGGGCCATGACCTTAGTAAAGGTGTAACATTCCACCCTGATCTTATCCCATATGGAGACCTACAATTGATTACCCGTGAATATATTGTCAAGTCACTGTCACTGAGTCAATTCTGACTCATGATGACTCTATAGGGCAGGGTAGAATTGCCCCTGTGGGTTCTCGAGATTGAGATTATTTATAGAAATAGCCTCATCTTTCTCTCAAGGAGAGGCTGATGGCTTCGAATTACTGATCTCGCAGTCAACAGTCCAATGTATAACCACTACCCCACCAATTAATAAATGTTAACTGCCAAACTACTGAGAATCCTGGCCCAGCAAAGTTGACACAAACCTAACCATCAAAGCCACCATGAGTTGGAACTGACTTGGGACAGCATCTAGCAACAACAGGGTAAGGAGCCCCCGTGGTCCAATGATT